TATATATATATATATATATACATACAACATTTATATTTATATTTATATTTATATATGAAAGTTTAGGTGTTAGATATGTAAATATATAATAATTGTAACATGTATGTAAATTTTTTCAGAGAATATGTTGAATCCACATATTTGTGCAATACCTTAAATTTGCATCAGCATGATCAAAAGCATGGTTAGATGATTATATTATTATTGTCATTGTTCATAACTGTCCAAGATAAAAGGCTCGCCTTATTATAGAAAAAGAGTTAAATATTTTTATATTTGAATCAATATAATTATTTAGGTTAATTAATAATTAAAATTTTGAAGTAATGATTCAAATCAAAGCTTGACATAGAATTACATAAGTAGTGGTACAATAAAAAAGTCCATAAAATAGAAAAATGCCCGTGAAACGATGTAAATACATCATAAGATAAATATCTAGTGAAATATATACATAAAACACTAATGCATCTGCTTACGTCTGCATGGTATGGCATATGTCCTTAACATGTAGAAATAAAGGGCTCAAAGAGGACGCACTCGTAGTTGATGATCTACCATACACCTCAAAGAGGACGCACTCAAAGAGGACGCACTGAACTGCCTCGTCACATGATCTAAAGGTGTCTCTCAATTCAATGCCAACAAATGAGGGGAACCAGGGCTTTCCAATTTGCACCCATATAGTGCAACATTTGGCTACCTGAAGCATAATCTGCATGTTTTATGCCTTCCATATAACCTATAAGTATATAATTTTAGTCACTAACTTCTTTTTCATCAAAGATATGAAATAATCATATAATGGTAGGTAATTAGCACTTGATGATGATATCCGCTTCTAGGTGCAACCACACACTAGGGGCTCACGCAAGTGCATGTGTCGTATCAGTAATATCAAATTTTAGTTTCTAGAATGTTGATCCCAAAGGGAGCAAGGGAATTAGACCTAGAAAAAGTTCTAGCTTGTTGATTTTGTTTCTCTCTTCTTAATAATCTGACCTATTGTGTCACAACAAACAACAAATTTAATCCTACACAACTAGTCCTACTTAACGTGACTTTGATTGATGAATATAAAGTTCTTAAAATACTCTCCCTTGTAATGATGTAAGTGGATTACATAAAATGTAAAGTGAAAATTAGAAAAGTCTAGTGACAAATAGGAGCAACACTCTTCTTTACCCTCTCCCGAGTGCACAAGGAAGATTAGATAAAACGACTTTAAATCCTTAAATCTCATAATTAGCCCATCAAAGGATATTTCCCTAACATTTGCATCTCCAAACAAGGCATATAAACCTAGACCCCAAATTTCAATGTGACTAACCTAGTTGATTATACCATAGCTTTCCCGAGTCATTATGGTCACAACACATTTTAACATTTTACTTGGCCATAATGAAAAGTAAATGAAGATCTGAAGGTTAATCATCACAATTAAAAATTAAAATCAATTTAAAAGTACTGTCCATATCCTATACATTCTACTTAATCATCACAAGGGAAGGCTAAAAAATCTACTCAAGAAGCATGAGAAAAAGACCACACTGATTTATTGAAATAAGAGAAATACGCGATCCAATGTTTACAAATGAAATACAATAATAAAGACTTACAAGACTTATCTTCCTCTTCTTTACAATGACCTAAAGATGCCCAATCAATGCTCCTCCTAACACCTGGGTTCTTGCTGTTGAATACCCTTGATATCCTCCACATGAAGAGAAGAAGAAGAAACTCTATAGAAAACTAAACCAACAAATGACCAACCCTCACCAATCTTAAGCCCTACTTGTGTCAATCCTACCCAAATGTCACTCATCTCATAATTCCCTGATACATTGCTCTTTATAGACTCCATCACTCAGCAAGAAAATCACTCCACTTCCTCGTCAACAACTCCATACGACAGGCTTTCTAAACTGCTAAAACTACTCCAGGTAGTTAGTGGTGCCTAGGCACCAGTCTCTATGTATGCTGAAGAAGGTATGGGCGCCTAAGCGCCAAGTGGTTAGTGCTTAGGCGACATCCTCTCAGATTGGCGCCAAGTGGTTAGTGCTTAGGTGGAAACCTCTCGGATTGTGCTCCTTCTGCTCCAAGTCCCTTTTACGTTTCCTCGCTTCCATTATTTGTTGTACCAACAAGAAAAACATAAAAATACCTTTCTATAAATTGCAATCTCATCCATAAAAATATGTAAATCATGCAGAAATACTAGCATACTTATCTTTACATCAAAATCCCCCAAACTTAAAGGTTGCTTATCCTCAAGTAACATTAAAGCTTAAATACCAATCTAATTAATTTATTGGGGTGGGTTTCATAAAAATTATCAACAATCATGCTTTAAGAGATTCATAATGATGAAATATAACTCATTAGCAAATAAGTCTAGACTAAATGTATAAGAAATCTTGCATCCAACTAAGAAAATATGAATTTATATTTACTTCAAAAAGAAATCAGTAAATGTTAAATAAGATACTTTATATGGTAAATAGATCAAATTTAAGAACGTTCTATAAATAATTTACTAATACTTCCTAAACATCAATAAATTTAGGAATGTAGTGGAGTTAAAAATTTAAAAAGATTCTAGTGAAACCAGTTTTTCATAAGGCTTCTCCTCAAGTTTCTCCTCATTATATATATTTTTTATATCATTTTTCTTGCTTTAGGATGAATATTTCAATCTTTAACATAACTTTATGAGGATTACTATAGCTAGATAATCCTTGTAATAATTTTGAATTCCATTATCATCTCTTTAAATCAAACATTCCACATTCCTTTTCTTTTTAGTTTTTCAAAAGTTTAAGAAGTATAAATGAAAAAACAATTTTAAGGAGGCTCAATTCTTATTATTATATATCTAAGTACACCCAATTTAACAAATATATGATACTTTTTGAAAATGAATATTTTAAATATTTTATAATACGCTGAATTGCAAAATTTACTTAACAAAAGTCTAACTTAATTACATAGAGTTTAAATAAGTTAACTACGTTTCTCCTTCCTCATGATTGTAATAGTTATAAAATTATTCCCCACTTTCATTAAGTTAATTAAAAATAGCAATTCAAATATACTTTACTTATGATAAATAACCTAAACCCTCCCCTACCCCCCCCCCCCCCAAACTAATTTTCAAACATTTTATGTAATGTAAAATATGAATTCAAATAGGGAGATACAAGTACCAAACTACTTCCTACCTTGCGCATATCAACAAGATCAATAGGTATAGCTAGAAATGAACAAACATCTAATAAAAAGTAAATTAGAACTAAATAGGATACTAAATAAAATTAGCACATGAAATTTTGAATATTTCAGTTGGAATATAAAAATAATTCCACAATTATAGTACAATTGACCCAATAAATACAAATAGTAGCAGTAACAACAACAAAAATAGAGTCATATGCATCCAAATAGATAGAATAAAGTCGTTAATCCTTCGCCTCATCATCATCTTCCTCCTCATCTTCCTCATCTTCATCTTCTTCTTTTTCTTCATCATCATCCTCATCTTCCTCCTCAAAATGCTCCTCCATCGGCTGAATGTGCTTGTAGGGTTGGTAAGGAGAATACATAGGTAACTCAATGGGATTGTTTTTTCCCAGCAACTGATTCCTCCTGTACATTATCAGTTGGGCAACATAAAAACTAGCAAACCAATCACATTGTCTTTTATTCTGCCAATCAATATGTGATATATGATCTGTCAAATCATAGAACATCATTTGCATAATAGAAATATCATCCTCCATCTTGCCCAATCCTTCTGACATAGAAGTCAGACTAGTGGAAGGACGAGGCTGGGAGTAGAAAGTTGAGGGATGAGAAGTAGAGGGCTGAGATGAACTAGCCCCATGACAAAAAACAGCTTGTTTATGATATAAATTTAAGTTAGTTTTGAAGATAGGCTTCAAAAGCCTAAAGCTTCTCCTCCCAACTTTGAAAAGACACACCTGGATTTTGACAAAACAAGAAGATGATAGATGGGTGCCCCAAACCAAGAGTAGATCCCCCTTATAGTATTAACTATAGAATGGTGGATGAGGGACCCTATAACAATAGATTTCATGGTTTGGATGCAAAAATTTAAAGAGGCTCTATCTTTAGGTGACCTCACTCAGATTGATAGAGGGAAGTTGCTTGGCAGAAACAAATTAGTGCCAATTATTAAAAGTTGCATTAAGCTTGGATGAGGGAAATTTGATTTTAAGATCATTTCTAACTTTTCAAGACCCCCTACCATCAGTAAAGAATCTAATGATCTCATCTATGTCATTATCTACGGGAGTCAAATGGGAGTAGAAACTATCAGGGACATCTCTCAAGGAAAATAAAGCATTGATACAGGAAGGAGAGATTTCCACCTGCTTCTCTCTCACATAGACTGACTCATCAGAAGCCTCGGGAAGATCAGCAAAAAACACTATAACAACTAAAATCACAACTACACTAGTATTGTAAAATAAATTTTCCCAATCTCAATTTACTATCATACTCTCA